ATTGTTAATAAATTAATATTATTTTTAATAAATAATTTTGTGATGAACTTTTAATGAATTTTTGCTGAATAGTTATTAAATTTTTGACTAAACTTTTAATTAATAAATTTTGGATTGCCGAATTTTTGATTGTCAAATTTTTGATTGCTGAATTTTTGATTTCTGAATTTTTGATAGCTAAGTTTTTGATTGCTGAATTTTTGATTATCACTTTATTGCCGAAATGTAATATGCCGATTGGCAGCAATCAAAAAGAATTCAGCAATATTTTTATTATTAAATTTAATCAAATTCAGCAATAATTCAGCTGCTGAATGATATAATTTCGACTAGTATAAAGCTATATACTAATTCTCTAATCTTTAAAAAGATGACCTAACTATAAGGTAAAGTAATTTTCAAAAGAAATTTTTTATTGTAGCTACTTTATTATACAAGAAAATTTGGATGTATGGTTTTTGAAATAACTTAATTCCTTTTATCTATAAGTTTTAATAAAGTATGGCAAAGTTAGTATTTTTTTAAAAAAAAATCAAAAATTACTCATAGTTAAAGGATTTGTTAAAATATTTGAATTAATATTTGAAATCAATTTATAGTTCCAATCAACTTGTAAATAAGATGTATGGTTTTTGAAATAACTTAATTCCTTTTATCTATAAGTTTTAATAAAGTATGGCAAAGTTAGTATTTTTTTAAAAAAAAATCAAAAATTACTCATAGTTAAAGGATTTGTTAAAATATTTGAATTAATATTTGAAATCAATTTATAGTTCCAATCAACTTGTAAATAATATTATAATGATTTATATTTCTATGATATGATATTATTAGAAGGCTTAATAAATTGGATATTCAGTTTGAAAGAGATTTCAGAATGTGAACAAGAAAAAGAAATAGGAAAGGATAAAGAATTAACTGTTAAATTCAAAAGATAAAAAATTATTGAATATAAGAAATTATTAATATATTTAGAGGATGAAAAACAAACTGGATAAAGAGCACAAATAGGTAAAATTTGGGAGTAGTTAGATTAAAAGAAAAAGCTAAAAATTTTAAAAAACATTTAATAAAGTAAAATTAATTGAGGCTAGTTTTAAAAAAGTCAAGCTGAAATCTTTAATAAAAAAAGAAAAGCAAATGAAAAGGAGGAAGGAAAAGAAAAGAAAAAAAAGAAAGAAGAAGAAAAAGAGAAAAAAAAAGAGAAAAAGAAAAGTAATAAATAATTAAATCAATTAATTTTGTAATTTTTTAATAAATTTTATAAAATTTGTTAAACTTTTTGAATAGTTAACGAATTTCAATACTGGATTTGTAATTTTTGTTAAAATTTTTGTTACATTAGTTTTTTTGCTAAAGTTTTATTGCAGTATCAATTTTTTTTTGAATTTTTTGTTACAATAATTTTTTGTCTAATTTTTTATCACAATATCAATTTTTTGTTGAATTTTTTGCAACAGTAATTTTTTTGTTAAATTTTTTGCTATAGTATCAATTTTTTTGCTGAATTTTTTATCACAGTATCAATTTTTTTGTCAAATTTTTTATTACAGTATATAAAAAAATTTTTTTGTTGTAATATTACCAGATTTTATATTGAATTTTTTTATCGCAATATATTGAAATTTTTTTGATAATTTTTGTTGGTATTTTTAATGTCAAGTAGTAACAATTATAAATGATTTGTCAATATTTTTATTATCATATTTTGTCAAATTCAGCAATAATTCAACTACTGAATAATATAATTTCAATTAGTGTAAGATTTCACTGATTTCCTAAAATTCATATTAATAAAAAAATAAATATAATACTTTTAAGACATAGTTTTTATTTTATAATCCTTTGAGTCTTATTGTCTTTTTTTTTTTTAATAGAAAAGAAGAAATAATATATATATTTTTTTTCACTTAACCAAAGATATAGGAGTTAATAATGTTCTTATCTAATTACATTATAGCAAAAATAATTTACAATAGACTTCATATTCTTATGGATTTGAAAAATTATATTAAATTATATGAAGTGATTAATAAGAACTTGTTTATATTTTTTACTAATATAAAAATTTCTGCCCAATCATAGTATGAGAAACTCAGTGCCACTCAAAATTCAGGATCAAGCTGGGATAAATAAAATTCTTCAGAAAGAATAGTTTTAAAGTATAACAAAATGACAAGAAAGTAGGTACATTGTTTTTCTTTACCAAAATAATTCTGTAATATTTATCTATAGTGTAAGATATTATATATTAGTTCTTCTTTTTTTATAAACTTTTTTACCTTTAGTATAAAAGGTGATACTTAACTTTTGTAGATTATAAGGGGTCTAGTTTTTACTAAAAAAGGATTATAAATAAAAAGAGAAGGATCGAAGTAACTCCTGAAGCTAAACTTTATATTGGTTTAAGAAAAGCATTAAGATTTTATTAATGTAATTAGTAAATATTTATTAATCAATAATAAATATATAATATATATTATATATACAATATATATATATATATTTTTTTAAAAAAAATATTTTGATTATTATATCAATTTTTTTATAATTTAATATAAATTTTAATTTCGAAATATTTAATTTATTTTTATCAAACATATAAATTGATTTAACAAATATTGATTTGCAGTACATTATAATAATTTTTTAAAAATATCATAAATGAATTGGCAAAAATTTAAGATCACAAAAAATATTTCATGCATAATATATTCTTCTTACAATAAGTTTTCGATTTTTTAATTATACGTAATAAATAATTGGCATCACTCATTTGACCTTGCTAACCATGCAGCATAAAAATATAATATTAAAACCGCATTTTCAATACTATTTATTTAATTCAAATAAAATAAATTTATTGATCGTCCATGTCAAATAAATTGTCAAATAAATTGTCAAATAAATTGTCAAATAAATTCTAACAACTTCTATATTTTATTTATCATTTAAATTAAGCGATCATACAATTATAAATATTATTATTTACAATCTGCAACATATTTTATATATAAGGGATAATTAAGAAAAAAATCATGCCACAGGCGACCTTAGTAACGCCACCAAATTATGACATACCCGCTGCACCAAAGAAATCATGTGAGCATTGAGAAGTTTGACGGATCGCTACTAAATTTGCCAAATCAGATTAGCCACTCACGGTCGTTATAAAGGGCGTGCGCACTTACTTGAGAAATCTTTGGCAAAAGATAAAAATTACCCTAAACCGAAACCTCCGATTTGTTGCTATATTGATGGATAAAATTTCATTGGGCATAACATTTGGATCCGATTTGATTTGCGTATGCACAATAATTTAAAAATTTCCGTCCTTTTATGTTACACTCGGTTCGGTTTTCTATAAATACTTATCAAAGAACAAAAAGCATTAAATTATAATTTCTTCACCCTTTGATTATTAAGATGACGCCATCGCCATTACTCGACTTTGACGTATTGCTGATGATATTTTCACAAGTTCTTAAGGAAAACCACACCACGGATTATAAGTCTTTATATTCGTGCTCTCTGGTAAACAAAAGATGGTGCGAGGTAGCAATTCCAATCCTCTGGGAGAATCCATTCTTATTACCACCGAAACACCCCAAGAAAGATTTTGAAAAGCACCATGAAGAGGATATTGCCAAATGGACAAAATCCGGGAAGGTGATCACAACCTTATTACGATGTCTCTCGGAAATAGAGTTGGAGCAATTTCAAAAAGTCATACAAAAGAAATTCCGCAGCGTCATCCCAAGAACGTCGGCGAAATTTCCGGTGGTATCTAATTGCGCGATGTTCAATTATCCGAGATTTATAAGATCTCTTTCAATTCATGGATTATATCAATCTTCTTTGAATTGGTTTAATTCGTCGAGCAATTCTCTGCAAGACACTCGAAACTTCACCTTATCTAATATACAGGATTTCATAGATTTGTTGATTAGGAGGCTGCTACGGTTATTCCTGGATCGCGGTGTTCGATTCAGGAGAGTGATGATCGGTCAACTAAATGACCCTAATGTTTCGCTAATTTTCTGTTCAAATAGCCTGTTTTACAAAGAGTACAAGGCGCTATTTGAGAGATTACAGGACTTGGATATTGGGTATATGAAAGAGGGAAGGGTTGCGGAGATGGTGGAGAATTGGAATGATTTCGTAAGTTCATAGTTCCATCGACCTTGCTTTATTTATCCTTTGCACGCATTACTAACGAGGTGCATGACCGTTTTATGGCGGAATCAAATTTTCCACACAAAGTCATCGTTAACATCTCTGACGATAAAGATGAGCACCCACCTTTCAAAAATTCTCATTTCATCTCGACACCTCAAAAAAATCAAAATTCTCGATGGTCGCACTCAAACCATTCTTCCAATCCTCTCATTACCTACCCCATCGGCCTCTCTGCAAAGCATAACTTTCAAATTTGTCGAGTTCGACGAAAATGATCCCTGGGAATTGTTATCATCATTCACGAACTTGGAAAAATTAAAATTAATTAATTGTTGGATACATCCTGACGTGGATTATGAGGCAAAGAAGGTTATGGGGTTTAAGGTGACAAGGGTGAAATTCAAAAAGTTGAAATTGTTTGTTTGCTCGAATCCTCGGAGCAGCGGTATGAGTGTCGAGAATGAAGGAAAGACATTGCTTGTGCAGTGGGGTGTGCTGCAACATGCCATGGTGGTATCCGAGAATCTGGAATCACGCAAAACAAGGATTTACTACGAAAAATTGGACAAAGGTATGTATGTTCATTATTGTCACTTACGATGTATTAGGGTTATGGTATTTTATTTTGGAATTCTGATTTGCAGGTATTGAGGTTGATCGGATCGAACACCATCTTTATACTAACTATATGAAAAAGATTGAAGAATCTCTAAGCACGCATCAGGTACAACTTCAAAATAGTTGATGCAGAAAAAGGAATACGAGGCAAAAAAAAAAAAAGTATTTTTTTTTTCTGCATATATTCGAGGATTATTGAACCTCATGGCTTTTTAAAGAATATGCAGTTCTTTTTGTGTTTAGAATAAATTACTCTCGACGGAATTTTGAGAAAAAAATTTTTTTTTTTTTTTTTTTTTTTTTTTTTTTTTTTTTTTTTTTTTTTTTTTTTTTTTTTTTTTGTTTTTTTTTTTTT